GGCTGGAGCGTGGGGTCACTCAGTAGGATGTCCCAGTTGTTTTTAATAATTTGGTTTATCTCATAGCTGAGATGGCCAAATTGTAAGGACATGAAAGTCCTTTGGGATGTTTGCGGTCTCAGGCGTTTATTGAGAAGGGCCTTGCGATCCAATGTTTTTACTTTGGTGAGGGCCTCATCCAAGACTAGTTTGTTGTATCCTCTTGATTGAAAACGATTATACATCTCAGTGGCTTGAGAATCAAAGTCAGAGGGATCATCACATATTCTCTTCAATCGCTGGAACTGACCGTATGGGATGTTAGTGATTAACGGTTTAGGGTGATAGCTTTGTGCACGTAGTAGTGTGTTCCTGTCACTTGATTTACGGTATAGCGATGTGTGTAGCTCCCCCTGGTTGTTCATTTGTATTTGTATGTCACGAAAATTGATAGATGTCTTGCTGTAATCTAATGTAAGTTTAAGGTTGGGATTGGTGTTGTTAAGATAGAGATGAAAACTCTTGAGCTCTTCCTCACTCCCGTCAAAAATGAAACACAAGTCGTCAATATAACGGCCGTACCATTTAATGCAGTGCAGAAAAGGATTGTCTTGATGGTACACGTGTCTTTCCTCCCAGAGTCCCATGAAGAGTCCTGCGTAGTTGGGTGCATAGGACGCTCCCATCGCTGTCCCTTTGATTTGGCGGTAAAGTTGATCCTGAAACATAAAGACGTTGTTTTTTAGGGACCAATTTGTAAGCGCCACAATGAAGCCTGTGGGGGGGGGGCTTTTGGCTCTGGCCTGCATTCTAAAAAATGTTGCAAGGCTTCTAGGCCCTCAGAGTGGACAATGTTTGTGTACAAAGCCTCTACATCCATTGTTGCTAAGATACAAGTGGAAGGAACAGACTGAATTTCATCAAGTCATTTTAGAACGTCTGTGGAGTCTTCAAGGTGGGATTTGAGTAAAGGCATGAGTGGTTTAATGAGATAATAAATGTATTTAGAAGCTGGCTCAGTGATGGTTTCAATACAGCTTATGATGGGTCGACCTGGAGGTGAAGTGAGGCATTTATGTATTTTGGGGAGTAGGTAGAATGTAGCCGTTTTGGGATAAATGGGCAATAGGTAGCTGTGTTCATTTTCCAAGAGCCAGTGGTTGTCCAAAGCTTCATCTATAAGTGTTGTTAGTTCCTTTTTGATGTTTTCATGGGGACTACTCGGGATGGGTGTGTAATACCGTGTGTCCTTGAGCTGTCTGTGGGCCTCATCAATATATTGTTGCTTACCCCATATAACGGTGGCTCCCCCTTTGTCTGCTTGTTTTATTATGATATCCTGGTTGGATTTGAGCCAATTGAGTGCCTGTTGTGACAGTAGCTCAGTTGGTCGAGCATTGGCCTTAAGGCCAGAAGGTCGTGGGTTCAATTCCCACCTCTGCACCTTCTCCACCGACTCCCACTGATGACTGCTGTCGTTGTGTCCTTGGGCAAGACACTTAACCCCACTTTGCCCAAAGCCCCCACTGAAAGATCAAGGCTATGCTCACACTCAGAGAGCAGCCGTCCTCCTGTGGACTCACCACCTGCAGAGGATCAGTGAGGGGCTGGTGCTATGAGACTTGGGTGGCATCTCTGACTGCCACCCCCCTGACCCAGAAATGGATTAAAGGGTAGAAAATGGATGGATGGATGGATGGATGGATGGATGTTGTACATATTGCATGGTCACGTGGTGTATGACGCCTTAAAATCAGCACAGTGTCAGCTGTGACACTCACTGCCCTGACGAAGACTCTGGTCGAAACGCGTCGGTCATTAAAAAGAACACAGTTTTCAGAGTGCCTCCTTCTCCATTTTTTCTTTTGCATATAGGACTCGGTGGAGTTTGGAGCTGCTCTATCCGTGGACAGACAGGAGAGCATCTCACCACCACAGCGCTGACCGCCCCCAGGATGTCTGCTCGACGTCTCAGATCACTCCTGGGGATGATGGCGGCGGCCCATGTGGTGGTACGTTTGGGTCTTCTCCACATGAGAGGATTTCAGAGGTGGTTCTCAGGTCTCAGACTTCACCCCTCCTGGGACGCAGCGACGATGCTAGTTCCCCCCAGGGTGAGATCAGACATCAGGTTCTGGCTCACCCCGAGTCAGATGAGGGACGGGGTTCCCCTGATAGGCACCGTGTCACACTCCTCTCTCGAGGGGTGGGGAGGGGTTCTGGGTCAGAGCTCCGTGGGAGGGCTCTGGACAGACCCATCTCCGCCCATCAACCTACTGGAGATGGAGGCTGTGTGCAGGGTGCTGCTGCACTTTGCTCCGCTGCTGCAGAGGAGGCACGTGATGATGCGTTCGGACAACAGCACCGTCGTCGCCTACATGAACAGGCAGGGGGACACGAGGTCCCCCGGTCTCCATCGCCTGGCAGCCAGCATTCTGCTCTGGGCGGATGTGAATCTGCTGTCTCTCAGGGCCCACCACGTTCCCGGAGACAGGAACACAGGGGCGGATCTAATGTCCAGGGGAGGCCCACTCAGGGAGGAGTGGGGCCTGGCCACGCAGATAGCGGCGCAGGTATGGCAGTGGTTCGGTCGGCCGGGGTCGACCTGCTCGCCAGTGCAGACAACGCGCTGTGCCCACTCTGGTTCGCGCTACGGCCCACGGACAATCCATCCCTGGGGGTGGATGCCCTGGCACATTATCCGTGGCCAAGAGTCCTCCTTTATGCGTTTCCCCCGACTCGCCTCTTGCCAGTTCTTCTGAGGAGAATCGAGCAGGAGGGTCAGGAAGTGATTCTCATCGCCCCGGACAGCCCGCATGCCCGCTGGTTTCCGTTCCTGAGGGGCATGGCGGTGAGGGAACCTTGGCCTCTCCCGGACGAGCCCGGAGCTCTGGTCCAGGGAGGAGGGACGCTTCACTCGCCCCCAGTGCTGGGCCACAGACTGTGGGTCTGGAGGCTGAGAGGCGGAATCTCGTAGGTCTGGGTCTCCCCCAGTCGGTGGTGGAGACTATTCAGGGTGTGAGGGCCCCTTCCATTGTCAAAGTCTACGGCTGTAGGTGGAAAATTTTCAGCGACTGGTGCGCGGCGCGGTCTTGGGACCCCATGTCCTGCCCTCTGGAGGGGGTACTGGGGTTCCTACAGGAACTGCTGGAGAAGGGGTGGGTTCGGGACCTTTCCGGCCCGTTCCCATCCGCTGGTCAAACGTTTCCTTCGGGGGGCCCAGAGGAAGAGGCACGTTCTTCGGAGAACGCCTCCGCTCTGGGACCTCAAGGTGGTCTTGAGGGAGTTATCGGGACCTCCCTTTGAGCCTGTGGCTCAGGCCAGCCTTGAGTGTGTGGCTCT